CTCCAGCCCCCCGCATCCTAAGCAGCAAGTACCTAAGGCCTCTCACAAGTTTTGAAGAATTTATTTTCAATTGGCTCCTCTGGTAGAAGTTATGTTATCTTCACTTCATAAGTGGAAAACAAAGCACCAAGGGGGAATTGACTTTCCTGCATTTTTTTGAAAACAAAGATACCTGTACCCACGCAGAAGCTAGAACCTAAATATGAACCCAGATCAGGGTCTTAATTGCACCTCCATCATTCCTCTTTCTGGGCCTCTGCATGGGGAATGTTCATAGAGTGGTAGCTCATAAAAACTGGACCAGGGTTAAGATTACCAAACTCTGAGAGACAATGAAATTGAGAGTTTATCCATATAATTGGTCAGATACCAAAATTACTAGTGGGAAATAGAAGAATTCACAGGGGATGCATCCCTGTGCATTTTAGCAGGAAACAAAACTACTCTCCTATGAGAAGAGCTCTGTCACCTGCTAAGCTCCTGCACTGATTTCCCTATAGGTATAAATACCTGCTTCTTATCTCTGAGATCTTGCACAGCTGTCAGCATGCTTCTTGATTAATAGTTTTGTTTTTCTTTCCAGACCTGATTAAAATTATTACGGCTCAAACTTAATGCAAAGCCTATCGCTATGAATTAATTTAAGATATTTTGTCATGCACATTCATGTAATCTTCACAACAAAATTCCGTTGCTGTCATGGCGATTACTGAAGACAAGGTTTTCATCAAAAGCCCTAACACAATATTACATTCAGGCCTCTAACACCTGCTCCGTAATTAATAAAGGACCTAATTAGGGACTGTATTATGTCCCAAACATGTTTAGTTGAATAATAGATATGTTCTTGGTACGGGTAGTAAATGAAATTGTGTGATGCCCTGCTGACTGCTAACCTACTTCCAGCATGGTCATGCCATTTGTTTATTCTGTCTAAGCAATCTGAAAGATGATATGCCAGACAGAATAACTGAAGTGAGTAATCCTACCCATGGAAAAGGAACCAGAAATCATTTCAGGTACAGTGTTTCAGGGCCAGTAATGTTTCCATGTAACTGTTGACTGTAACATGATGTCACTATTCCTTCTTTTTCATTATGTTTCTTGCCAAGATTGTCTGCTGTCTCAATACAGCCCTGGAAGCAAAATGCAAATGTGCAGCTTGAGAGCAGAGCAGATCTGTTAGCTGTGGGAAAACTTTGCTCCTCAGCATCACGTGAACACCTCTGTAGAGATACCCAAATGTAGAAGTCTTAGCACAGGAGTGTGAGACATTGGTACCTAGTGCCATTTGAGATATCCTAGGTGATTTCAGACACCCACCTGGGATCATCAGATCCTATACTGCACCATTAGAAAACTCATGCTGTTCTGGAGCAAGCCATCAGAGGTTTTTCAGTTCCTAATCTCAAACCAGATTCTACACTGTGAGTCCCCTCCTTTCCTTACATAGATAATAGTAGAGGGATGCTGTGTCCATAGGGCCAGGAAGGTGTTTCTGAATGAAAGCAGTGGTAAAAATACAAATTGACCTGGTTTGGAAAATGTGATAGGTGCACGAGACGGAGATCTGGGTTATTTCTTTCTTCCTTTTAGGGGAGTTTTCTTGTTACTACAAAACAGAAAGCTTACAATCCAGATCTGTTATTTTGTTTTCCAGGTAATGGATCTATGTTAGAGAGTCAAAGCCAGTCAAATGAAAAATAGTAAACGGTGGAACAGAACCTGCCACCAACAACTGCACAGGGTAGGAGCCCACAGGAGTCACGTTGTGACTGGGTCTTTCTTAGGGAGCTGGGGAACCTGGTCCGAAAGTCGGTCTTGGGGAGTAGGTGACTGACTCTTCTCAAAGCACAGACCTTACTCAGGGCTTTTTTTTCCCTGATGGTTCACAAATCTGTTGATTTCCAAATTATCCAGGCTTTCTGTCAACTGAGACAGAATGGGAGGTGTTGGTTTCTGGACTAATAAAAGGAGATCTTTTTTTTTTAATTTGACATATAGCATCATTATAGATACAGTCGTATATAATTTCCTATTTTGTACCCAAGCACAGAGGCGCTGACAGGAACAGTTCATACATCAAAACCCAAACACGAACGTTGCGAATCCACTTTTATAATTACCTATTTTTTATATGACTGTAGTCTTAAGACACATACAGGGCTAAACTCCCATCCTCAGAGATGTTGCACCAAAAAAAAAATATTGGAACATTTCTTCTGAAGATTATGAGTCTTGAAGGAATTTTTTTTTTAATGTAATATTCTTTCTAGCCTTTTTAGTCTATCATTTATGTATCTGAGTAATGTTACATTTGAGATTTGTGCTTTAATAAGAGCTTTCTGGTTCATGGGCTCTTTTTTCCCCCCATTTTCTTTATCCTGCAGTGATTTACATGGTGTTTATGACAACAGATTTTAATATATTCTGTTGCCACAAATAGAGGTTTCAGCAGAACTCAGGATCCTGCTTTCAGACTTCACTGATTACTTTGCAATTGCGTGCCATGTCCTGGAACATTCTCTTTTGTACTACTTTGTATATGTTTCATTGCATGTGTATATCCCAGGGTCTGACCTCCATATAACCTAGGCTGTACATGAATTGCGGCATCAGGCCATTAGTTGCTTTTCAGATACCAATCATTTGAAAATGTTCCCTGGACTATCTTGGTAAATTAGCAAGCCTATTTAAAATGTTGTAACAAATAGCAGCTGATTTAGGACTGAGTTGGAATATCTTTCCCCAATATCAAAATCCATCATCCTGTCATACTGTGAAGAAAGTAATTGGTAAATAAACCATTATTTGAAGAAGCAAAGACGCTATCTAACTGACAGGATAAAGCAGGAAAAAAAAAATAGAGATTTGGAAACAATAATGAATGAGAAGAAAAAAGATAACTTGAGATTATTTCTTCTAAATTACCTCACAGCCGATAGGTTCTTTCTCTCTTAAAAAGAGTAATTTTAGATATTTATCATACATTTTAAATTATTGCGCTGTTTGCTGTTGCTTTCAGCAACCATCTGGAAATGAAAATATAGGCTGTTTTTAACCAAGGCCATTTTCTCCCCTTGCCCACACACCTGGTGCTCTCAGGCTGCTCACAAAAGCAGAGCTACAAGAAATGATCTTTTTCTTTAAGAGAGCAGTTGGAAGAGCTGCCCTTGTAGGAGGGAAACATAGATAATGGGCTTTTCTGGCAGTTTGAAGAAAAAAGAGAAGCAGGTCAAGTTTCTGGACTTTCCTGACTTGGAAGGGAGCCATTGACCATATGGCTTTGTATTCCCTGCGCACAATGCTGTGCAGCCTCCCATTAGAGACAGATGGTGCGATATCTGTACACGAACAGCAAAGCTTCCAAGACCCCGGCGCTCCGGCTGACGTACGCTGTGGTTAGTTCAATGGCAGGGGATATTTCGTCTTGGGCCTTTGGTATGTTTCTCCCTTTGAATGAAATAATCCCTCTAGTTTTTAATTGACAGGAAACTCAAACGCACAAGATGGAAAAAGAGTGCATGACAGTGTAAAAAAGAAGGGGGAAATGCTTTATTAAATTTTTGCCTGACCACAGCAATATTTTTTTTCATTTAGATCCCAACTAAGTTGAGCCTTTAGAACTGAAAGTTTTAAATTCCTTGTCTCTGTGAACTGTTTTTTTTTTTCTTCCAGGACTGCCTAACCATATTGATACCTAAAATTATTAGATTCCATACTGCTTATCGTGAGGTTTCCGGGGGTATTTTGGTATTAACATCAGCAATACACACATTTTTAAAGCCTGTGATGAGGTGATATGTTCCCATATCCCACATAAAGCTCTGTTGTCATTGATAGAGTTCACAACCTGAACTCTGCTTAGGTCTCTCGAGGAAGGTAAGGCTCTGGCTTCTACTTCATAGAAAGTCTTAAGTTAAACTGTTAATATGGACTTGGAATAGGGACCAAACTGTCACTCCCACTCCACTCAGTGCTTTAGTCACTAGACTAAATGTATTCTTCCTCTTGCAGATTCTCAATCTGACAAGTTCTTTATGCCTACTTATCAACTATAGCTATCCCAAATAGATACAGGTGTTTACCACTCCCCATTAGTCCCCTGTATTTTTTGTAGAAGGGGAAAAACAAAAGTGCAGACTGAATGATACAATGGACATACCAGTGTCTGGTCTGACAGTAAATAGAGAGAAGCATGGGATGCAGGAGGACTTGATCTCTCATAGAAGTTCTTTAGAGGTATCTACCTCTATTCATTGACTGTGTAAGATGGTTAAAATGGTTATTCTAAGTGGACTGAATTCCCTTTAACACTGGTCTCATCACCCGAAATGTTGCTGTAGCAGCACTTAATTTGTAAACTGAGTTCCTCCAAAAGAGATTTAGGAACACTTTTAAGTGATCAAGTCTTCTTGTATTCACACATACATACACAGAGCGTTTGTCTTCACTAATTTGCAGTGACTATACCTGAGGAATGCAGGACTCATCTTCATTTAAGTTAGGTTGGAATATGCATGTCTTATATTATCCATTATGTGATTTACCAAACAGCTTTACAGAGCACAGCAGGATTTAGCTTGAATATACTCTGTGAGTAGATGATGTTGCAAAGAGTCCCAGCTCAGTGTGCCCCAGAACCCAGAATGAACTGTGCACCATGACCAACTGGAAGATACCATGAGTGTAGTGATTCGTTTCGATACCTGTAGAAGCATTCTGCATTAAGAATTACAGAAGTAACAGTGGTTTTTTACATATGTATTAGTTACTAGGTGAAGAGAGATTTCAAGACATTGAAAAAATTAAAACGATTGGCAGCACATACATGGCCGTGTCAGGATTATCACCTGAAAAACAGGTAAGAGAATAGTTTCCTTTAAGAAGCAAAGCTTTTGCTGTGTCCGACCACTATATTAGAGAATATTAGTGTTATCTTTCTGATGTTCATAGAGCTGTGTTTGCTAAAAGAAAATAGACTTTTGGGACTTCTGGCAGACAACAGCTGCACTTCTTGATGAATTGAAATGCCATCTTGTGCTCGGAACAAGAACCATATGGATTCTTTCCTCAAATTTAGGTTTATAGGAGAGAAAAAACAAGATCTCCTTTCAATCACACTGATGTGAATCTAGAGCAGGTCTATCTACATCTTCGGACATACTCTAAAGTTACCACTGTCACTCAGACCAGAATCTGGCTGACAGCCTCCGATAATCTATGAAGAGAGAGGATCTATTAACTCACAGCATACTTATGCAAGTGTAAGGTTACATTCATACATTTTTGTGATGATGTAGCTGTATATCTACAGACAGTGCGATAAACTATACATCAAAAAGAAAGTAGACCCATCAGTTCAACTGAAGAACATCACAAAGCCAGAAGCCTGCACGCTGCCCTCACTTGCAAAGTGCAAACCAAGCTGAGGGGAAAAATCACCCACGGAGGACACATGCACAGTCACAGCCAGAAACCTCATATAAGTCAGATGAGAGAAATCCATTCATAATTACACCCAAGAATATGCCTGGAAACGGGGTCTCCAAAGGAATAAGATGAGGCTCTAAAATACACCCAGCGAGAAGTTGGCTGTTGCTGAAATCTGTCTTGCTTGGCAACCGGTGCCTCTCCCCAAGGAAGAGCACCACAGAAGAGGGTGTGCTGCCCCAGATCAACCACAGAGCGGGAATCAGATCTGCCCACGTTGACTGCAACTGCCAGGAAAGCCAGATTAGTGTGAGCTTTATAAACTAGAAAATTTCCATTGTTTCTTTAGAATACATTATAAAACATGTGGAGTGTAACTAGCTGAGTATCTCCCACCTACAGAGTAACAAGCGATACTGACAGCTAGAAATCCACAAAACTAGGCATGCATGAGATTTTTGCTTGTTCCTGTGCAGAGATGAGCAAAGAAGGACTGAACACCAGGGAGGTAGCTGGTTATAGCTACACAGCTCCTAACCACTTCTTTTGACTCTTGATGTGGGTAAAAATTCAAAGGGAGAAAATCTTTACTGCATTTCCAAGACTCACCCTTTTTCTTGAACACTAATAGCCTAATGGAATTTTTATATATGTTTTAAATATACTTATCTTCATATATACATGTCTATCACCTTGTCAGCACCTAAGAGGTGAGGGCTGCTGAGGGAGGTTGGCATGCTGTGAACGGAATGAGGCTGAGGACAAGGTTCGAGCACGGTGTGAACAGAACAGGGTGATGCCAGGGAGGTGCTTATGTTCAGGATTAAACACTGAGGATGACGAAAATTGCGAAGGGCTGGACTGCGTGACCCAGGGGGAACCTTGCAATGCTTCGTTCCTATGGGCTGGAAATTTGTTTAATGAAAGAGTTACCCAGCTTCAGAATAGATGAGGTGACATCATATCATTATCAGGCCAAAACCACGGCTGTTCCTTACTCTGCTGCCCACTCAGAGAAACAATTAAGGATCTCCCCGTCCTCCCTTGAGAATCTGCCCCACCATCTGCTCTGCTGGTGTTTTGGGAAGACCAAAAGCCAATCCTGGTCCCCATCTGTATATTGACTGCCCTGCAGGAATGGGAACACAGGGGAAGGAGCAGGGAGTGACTTGACTTCTCTAAGCAGAGGCGATTAATGAGCTACAGAATAGCCTTTTCTCTCCCACTTAACCAGTCCCAGGTTGCCTGGCTTGCCCTGTTGTTCCTGTCACTATTCCATCCCTCAGAGAACTGGAATTGGTGCTTTTCCTGGGTGATAGTTTCAGCAAAGGAGAATTATGTCTTTCACTTCTTTCGCTCTACTTCTTGCTTATGTGGGTCACCCTGGTTCTCACCAGTTCTTGTCCCTTGCACCTAAGTTAGCTCAATCCTCTCTATACTTTCTTTCTTAGCCTTAGATAGATTTCACATGCCTTATTAATTCCTATGATTGCCTGTCAGATTATTGACAGGAAATTACTTTCTTTGATACTTCATGCTAAGCTTCTCTGTATCCAGGTATACAAGTGTTGTAATATAAACAGGAAGCATTACCATTAATAACACCCTACTTCTCTTGGATCTAGTGTGTTGAGACTGTTCTTACAAATTGTAAATTCAGATACTTGGTACTTGGTAGGCATGAGTGGGAGCTGGGCAAATTGCAAAACCTTTCTAACATATTGGTTTATAACGTACTCCTCAGCAATGTGAAGACAAGTGGGGGCATTTGTGTGCTCTGGCCGACTTCTCCATAGCTCTGAATGAAAGCATACAGGAGATCAACAAGCATTCATTTAACAACTTCGAACTCCGTATTGGTAAGCATAGTTCAAACATGAGAATTAAAATGTGGTTTTGTCTGCAAGGATCTGACTCTGTAAGTGCACCCCAGGAGCGTGGCAAAGACATGTACAATTTAAAAGCCTCCAAATACTGTACCCCCTGTTTCCAAATAGACTTCATCCCAGGCAAAGTTAAAAATAAGAAATACTCTGTTTGCAGAATATGGGCCCTGATTTGGGGACTGCAGAAGTTCTAAGGTTTAGTGAAATGTAAATACATAATTAAGCTTCTGTCTTTATAAGAAATATTCTGTTTGCAGAATATGGGCCAGAATATGATTTGGGGACTGCAGAAGTTCTAAGGTTTAGTGAAATGTAAATACATAATTAAGCTTCTGTCTTTAGCAAGTCTAGCCGAGAGCCCATAGGTATAACACCAAAAGTGAACTGGGCAGCCCAGACCTAACCCCAAGCTTGATACTGGCTTGCACAGTCTCTGATTAATCTCCCTGTCTTCTTCAGCAAAGGAGTAATAGTAAGTTATCCTAAACCCTGTGTGTAGTACTTTGGTTTTGCACAAAAATTGAATTCCAGTTCTGACCTGACCTGTCCCAGTGACAGCAGCTCTGAATTGCTGTGATGGGGAACCTGTTACCCTGGATGGGATATCCCGGATGGCTAGTAAGATGGAACATGAAAAGATGGCCTGAATATATGGCACATGGCAGGAGCAAATCTGATGGCTTTTCATGCTGACTGGATCACTGGCCAAAACCAAAAACCACCCAGAAGAAACATGTCCTTTATAGACAACCCTGCCATAAAAAAGCTGAAGTGTATTCATCAGCCACAGCACGGAGGGTCACAGCATCACTATCTGTGATCTGCACTTCCCAACAGTTTTGTACAGAAAACTCCCAGTTCCCAAGATTTCTCAGGGAACACGCATCCGCTCTTAGTAAGTGTGCAAAGATTTCATAGAGCATGAATGCAGCAGTATTTGGAAACCATTTCTATCACCAATTTAAAAAAATATTCTCTAAAAAAAAAAAAAATCTAAAAAACAAAGATCCTTTTCCCAAAGATGTGCCTTTCACTATCACTAAATGTAGTGATACGTCTTAAATCACTGCTGTAGAAAAAAATAGTCCTTTCTGTATTATTGCTTGTCTTGAATTTATGCAACAATCTTACAAGATACAGTCTTTCTATAACTTCACAGAATACTTTCATATTTTCACTTCATGGAACATAAGAATGTAATTACTTGACTGTATAACACTAACAAGGTTGCCTTCAACAAGTGTAGACCCAGAAAGATCCTTCCAGAGAGATCTTTCCTGCTACATAAGAATCAGTTTGTAGGGGCTTTGGCAATAGTGTGCAGAATACAGATGTTACGTAAGTACTGTGGTTCCACTGTGACGGACGTCCTGTAATGTAACTCTGTGGATATCACTTTTCATGTTTTCTACCTTTTCTGGCCTTTTTTTCTTACTTTCTTTGTATATACACCTCTTCCTTAAGCTTTGAGATAAATGTATCTGAACGAGGCTTCATGTGGTTCTTAAGTGCAAATATGGTTTTTAGCCATTCTTGTCTAACTGGCTAGCTCTTCTCTTTTTTTTTTTTTTTTTAATAGGGATTAGCCATGGCTCTGTCGTAGCGGGAGTTATCGGTGCTAAGAAACCCCAATATGATATCTGGGGCAAAACGGTTAATTTAGCAAGTCGAATGGACAGCACAGGTGTTAGTGACAGAATACAAGTGCCTGAAGAAACGTATCTGATCCTGAAGGACCGGGGATTTGCCTTCGACTACCGAGGAGAGATTTATGTCAAAGGTATCAGTGAACAGGAAGGAAAAATCAAAACATATTTTCTTCTAGGAAGAGTTCAACCAAATCCTTTAATCTTACAACCAAGAAAACTGACTGGACAGTATTCACTAGCAGCTGTTGTATTAGGACTTGTACAGTCTCTTAACAGGCAAAAACAGAAGCAAATCCTTAATGAGAACAATAACTCTGGAATCATAAAAGGACATTACAACCGGAGGACTTTGCTCACTCCCGGTGGATCTGAGGCAGCAGCCCAGGCAGAGGGGGCTGACAAAACTGAATTGCCATAATCAGCATTTTGTTTGTGTTCTTTTTTTTGTATTTCTTTTATATATAAAAATAAATATACAAATAGGTTTAATTTTTTTAGAAGGTGTGATTATTTCTATGAGATTCAAACTCCTACATTTTAACAAATGGTGCCAGCATCTCTCCCCCCAGCTGTGATTAACCTCTGAATGTCCAGACATTGTCTAGCATGTGCCAGCTACCTGCAGAAAGGGGCAAGAATAAACCTCTGACTGGAGGGATTTAGAACATAAATTGTGTAGGGAGTTAATGATGGGGAAAGGAGGGAATACTGTCCACACTTTTTGGGTGAAAGCAAAGGCATAAGGAGATTGAGTACGTTCTTCTCACCTTTACTTGACTTCAAGCAGAATTATACACATCTAAACTAGTTGCCTGATCTCCATAATAACCAGGGAAAAGCTAGTCAATACAGCCAAAGGATTTTAAGGTGTGTTACCTGCCCAGATGTGAGGATCTGGGAGATAGAAGTTGCCCTAAACCCACTGATTCCATCGAGTCCAGTGGCTGTGGGCTCTTAAAATAGCCTAAGGTGTCCTCCTCACAAGCGGGTGACTGCACTGCAGACAGATAAATTGCATGTTGGTATCCACCTGCCCTCTTGCACCCAAGCCAGGAGGTCAAGGCTTTCCTGTAGGCACTCTGGCATATCTGTCAGTCCCAGCTGGAGGGCTCAAATTCACTATGGTATCTTGACCGGCACAAGACACCTATGAACGGATGACAGAATTACACCTGGAGCCTACAGCTGAGTCTATTGTCCGGTCAAGGAACTAATCAAATTCTCTGGAGTCACTTTCCAGAGCTTAGCTCTTAAGCCCATCACCAGTCTGACTTCTCACCACAAAAGGGTTGTCTGAGGCTGTAAAATGAGTACCTGCTGAAGTACAGTAGGAGACGAAGCTCACCGCTAAACTCCTGCTCAGTTGCCCCAAGAGGAGGAGAGGCCAAGACTGAGGACACCCCAAATCATTTGTGTGCCAGCACAGAGGCAGTCCTGCTGGGATGCTACAGTGGCACACCTCAGTGTAACAAGCCCTGCATCAAAAGGAGGATAGCTTTTTGGGGGATGGGTAATCAACTTTGCCTTGGAAACAGTAAATATGTAGCACAGGTCCCCATATGCATCGGTGCCATGATTCCTACTGAGCTGTAAAGTGCACAAATGAACCTCTCATCAAGTCTGTACGCTCAAAGGAGTTGGGTTTGTTTCAGTAAATATAATTTTTAAAGCAAATCGCAGATGGAAGCAGCGGAACCTGTAATCACACAGCAATCCCCAGATGAGACCCCGTACAACCAATACAGTGCAACACACAGATTCTTTATAAATACAGGCCTCGCTTTTTGCAGGCTGTTACCCAGTCCTTAATGAAAACTGGAGTTTCTTGGGAGCATCACCACTGGATCAGGCACATTTTTAAAAGATGGCCAATAAGGCTAGGAAATTTTGATTCCTACATTTTATAAGACACTATTGTTTACTAACAAAAGAGGCACCAAAACATGAAAGTGTTTAATTGTAGTAAGATAAAAATAATGATTTCCGTTGTAAATAACCTGATGAATGGGTTTGTGGGGCAAAATTTAATCAGCTAAGTGCAGTCTTCAGAAATCGAAAATAATAAAAATGACCAAATAAATTCCACAGAAAATTGTATCACTGAATGATGGGTCAGAGCACAGAGACCAAAGAGCAGTCTGAAACGTTACACCCAGTGATGATATTGCCAGTAACTGAGTCCTCATTTCAAACTGATTACTCCTTTGCATCCCCAAAATATTTTTTATGCCACACAGGGAAAGATGAACCCCTCAACTCACCCAGGGAAGTGCTGATATTGTAGGAGATGAAGACAAGGAAGGCATAGCATCTGAAGCAGTTAAATTAATTTCACATTTACAGAGTTATTTGAAGCACTAAAGAAAGAAGTTTTGACTGTTTAAACAGCTCATTAACAGTTGTCCTCTCCTTTGCAGCTTATTTCTGTGCTGGATGGGTTCACTTCTCCTGGTCCTCTGAACATTTAATTCTTGCTAATATCCCAGCTGAACTGGTTTTCTAATTCTCAGCACTGCTGCCAACCTCTGTAATGACAATTAGCAGTGAGTGGAAGGTGTTAACTAGATAACAGGATTGGAGACTGGAGCTGTGAGGGCAACTTCACTGCTCCTTAACGTGGACCCAAATCTCCTGCTTCTTATCATAGACACGGATGGCTTTCTGCGTTATCCCTCTCAAAATCCCCATTAGCATAACTATGTTTCCAAGCAAAATTGTCTGCTAATGAAGCCTGAGTCTGTGTTGACCAGATAAATAGTTTGCTAGATCAGCTCATTACCATGAATAATTCTTCAGTGAGGAATTTCACCTGTGACTGCGCAGGTAAATCCCTGCTTAGGACAATTTGTCTACACTAGATGGCTATTTGTCACCCCAGCAATTACACTGCTTGTTCCTTTTCCAAGTATGATGACCTTAAAAGTTCAGCAATGTTATTTCTCCTCGTAGCATCTGTTTTCAGTGGAGCAGCAGCTATTATTTATGCTCTCAGTCTTCTGGTTTTACTCCATGACTTTATGGTACCATTCGAGTACTCAGCTTTCCCTCACAACTCTATCTTCAGGGGTTCTTGTTCATACAGGATAGAATTTCTCATACAAGAAGGACCTATAAAGCCAAAACACCTGGTTAATACCCTTTGAAACATGCACGCCTGGGTTAATAAAGGTAAATTGCCTTGATATTGTAACTCTTTGGCCAAACCAGCTAGCCAATATTGAGAGCTTTCCTAAATTTTCCCATTAAGAGGAGAAAACCTTGGCAAAAACTGACTATACTCTTTGATGTCACCTTATTTATTTCTACAAATGCGCATTACAGAAACAAACAGCAGCCAGCTGCTTGCTCAGAAATTTGTACCTCGGTCCCTCCAACAAGCTCGGTGCCATAAGCTCTGCTGACTTAAATGTTTTCTAAACAAACTGGCTGAAATCCACAGCTTTCTTCTCTGAAAAGCAACATACAATCAACTATGTCAAGGGCAGTTTATGCCAGCTTTGAAGTACTCATTCTTAATCATTAAGGCAGATGGAAAATTGACTGTCTGGACAATACTTCTGGACCAAAATCATTACTCTGTAGTGCTCCAAGTGCATATTTGCAACCATCACTCCTATATTCTAGCAAAGATCGTATCTGTGGCAAGAGTGCTTGTCTGCAGGACAATGAAAAGGTTTTAGTGTTGATTAATTTATGCCATTCACCAATTTTAGCTACATCTATCCAGAAAGTCACAGTTAGGTACAGATACCTGTCAGGGTACCTACTTTTAGCTCACACTAAGACTCAAGACAGAAGAGAGTTTACCTCTACTGAGAAGAGTGTGATAGGTGTGATATCATTTAGAAGTGTGTGCTGAGAAAAAAGGAAATTCAAAAAATAGCCCTTGCACACAGGGGAAAAATATCACTCACTGTCCTCAGATTTAATTCATTCCTGATTACTTCACAGTCATTTGCACCTTTTGAAAAGCGCAGCAAAAAAAACAAATCTCGTCTAATCCTTTTCTCATTAGCAGAACTTCAGCTGCCTTTCCTAAGTGCAATGGGAGTCAAGGAGTTTATACAAATACAGAGCACAGCAAAGGTGGCTAATAGCCACAGGTCCTGTCGCTGCACACTGTCAAGCTGCAGCGCCGGGAGCAGAGAGCCTGGCTCCGGAGCTGACTTGACGACCACGCAGTGAAATGATCAGAGGAGCAGGAAAAAACCACATTAACCATCGTCGGTGGTACACGGTAAGCAGTATAATTGCACAGTCAACTTATTAACCTCCTCATCAATCTTTTTCTGTTGCTCCATGGCAGTGACACGATTAAACGTTTGTGGTTTCCCCAGCTCTGCGCTTCGCTGGAGGAGGGGAAAAAATATGACAGTGGAGCCGTCAGCAGATGGGAGGTAAGGGGTAAAAATTCAATATGCATATCTCTAGGCACTTGAAACTTACTGCAGTTCAGTTAGTATTTAAGGAATGCTCTCATTAGCTCTTGTGGTAGAGCAAAATATTTCCTTGGTTTACGTAACTCTAGTAGATAAGGCCCAATTTTTTCAAAAAAAAAATCTTTTTTTTTCTGTCCATTTTCCACTAAGCTCTTTTTCAGGCGATGGCTGTCAGAGTTACAGAACCATCCAGAGACTGATTCATTCAGCTCTTTCATGTGAAAATGACAGCAATGTGCAGGGCTGGTTAGGCAGCATCTCCTGTAAAATGCCACTCACGCTACTTCTGCGGACCCAGATCTCCCTCAGCCCAAGGTGGTTTTTTCCAGCTGATAAATATGTTAATATTGATAAGCTGAAGATCTCTCCATTTCATAGTGCATGTAGCTTTGGAGGGTCTTGAAATCAGTGCCTCCTTCAGCTTTGCAATATTTTAAAAAAAAACAAAAAACAAACACCCCTGTTGCCACATGGAGAAAAAGAAGAAGAAATCTCAGCTGGTTTGCTGAAAATCTAAGGCTCTAAACCAAATGACATATGTGTGAAATGACTTTTGATTGCAAAACCCACTCCCAGCAGCAGTGACATGGGATACGCCAAGGGATATTTTCACAGCAACAGGATATTAATTATTGTTTTAATTAACTCATCAGTTACTTAAAATAATAAAAATGCAACAGCCTCTTTCTACTTATCTTTCCTCACAGAGACTATTGTGACAGGCTGTCAGTTTTCTAAGCTTCTGTAAATCACCAAGTAATTTTGCTTCAGATGAGTGATTACCTCCTCTGAATGTGCCCAGATCGATGCTCTAAAGCTACGTCCAGGAGTCAGGAGTCACATCCCCGTCCCTGGGGTCAGCACACTTTGTAAGGGTAAGACCAAGGCTCCCAGTGACACCAGCTCTTTCCCCGTAGCCCTATTCCTGAGAAAGGCAAGCCCAGGGACTTGGGCAGGCTGGGAGCTGTAGCCCAACACTTTTCCCATCTGAATGAGGGTGGGAAGGAGACCCTAGCAGGACCTATCCCACAAGGTAAGTCAAGTCGCTGCCTTTACA